CATTATATTGTAGACATTTTTTTTTTCAAAAGTACGATATATGAGGCTGCATACTATCCCATGTTATGGGTGTGCCATAATTGATTAAACTATTTTCTATATTAGACATAATTGTTTTTTTCAATTTTTCAGCATGTCATGAGCATCCTCATAGTAATATTTTTATGTGTATCCCTGATTATTCCTTTAGAAAAAAATTCTGAGAACTGAAATTGCTAAAATAAGGGTAAGTATATATATTAAAATAATTTTTTTTCAGTTATAGTTGGCATACAATACGATATTAATTTCAGGTGTATAACATAGTGATTAGACATCTATGTAACTCACAAAGTGATCATCCCAATAAATCTAGTGCCCCTCTGCCACCATGCATATTTATTACAATATTATTGGCTATATTCCTTATTCTATACTTTCTTTCTATCTATCAATCTATACTCCGTGACTATTTTATAACTACCAATTTGTACTTCTTAATCCCTTCCCTCTTTTTCACTGACTCACCCATCTGGTAACCCTCAAAATGTTCTCTGAATCTATGAGTTTGTTTCTGTTTTCTGTTTGTTTGTTTATTTTGCTCCTTAGGTTCTATACATACATGCAACCATATGACATTTGTCTTCCTCTATCTGACTTACTCCATAGAGCACACTATCCTCTTGGTCCATCGTGAAATATCTTTTTCCATCTCATTTCTTTTAGTCTGTGTGTGTGTGTCTTTTAATCTGAAGTGAGTCTATCGTAGACAGCATATGTAAAAGTCTTGTTTTCTTACCCATTCATCCACCCTATCTTTTGATTGGAGCATTTAATTCTTTTTCACTTGAAGTATTTGTTGCTAGGTATGTAGTTATTACCATTCTTTATTTAGACTTTTGATACACATACTTGTCTGGGAAATTCTTTTTTGATTCCAAAAAAAAAAGTTATCTCTCTTTTAATTCTAAATGATAACTTTGCTGGGTAGAGTAATCTCGGTATGCCCTGTACCTTTTGATGCAATGTTATTCATTGCGTAATTGTTCCTATCCGTTATATTTTTGTTGTGAGCTATTCGTTTTAAGTAGTATAAGGTAATAGCTTCTTCTATCCTTATTGCCAATTCTCTGATACTTTCATCTAAGGGAGTTTTTAATATATATGTAAACTGCAATCCTGATCAATATCTGCCCCTTTTTACAAGTGTTGTTGTATGGCTTACATATTTCAGAATGCAGTGTACCCCCTCAAGTCCCTCCCTACTTCATTGAGATATGATTGACATAATATTTTGTAAGTTTAAGGTCTACAATGTGATAATTTGATAACATATGTATTGCAAAATGATTACCACAATAAGGTTGATTAACACATCTGTAACCTCACATAGTTACTTTGTGTGTGTGTGGTGAGAATATTTAAGATCTACTGTCTTAGCAACTCTCAGGTATATAATATGGTACTGTTAACTGTAGTCACCAGGCTGTACATTAGATCCTCAAAACTTATTTGTCTTATATCTAGAAGTTTGTATCCTTTAACCAACATCTCCTCATTTTCCCTGTCCCCAGCCCTGGCAATCACCTTTCTACTCTCTGTTTCTATGAGTTTGGCTTTTTAAGATTCCACATATAAGTGAGATCATACAGTATTTGTCTTTCTCTGACTTAATTTCATTTAGCAAAATACCATCAAAGGTCCATCCATATTGTCACAAATGGCAGAATTCCCTTCCTTTTTATGGCTGAATAATAATTCCATTATTACTATGTATCACATTTTCTTTACCCATTCATCCATCAGTAGACATTTAGGTTGTTTCTATGTCTTAGCTATTATGAATAATGTGGCAATGAACATGCAGGTGCACTATCTTTGAGAGTGAGTTCGTTGTTTTTTTTTTTTTTAATCTATAACCCAGCTCATATGGTAGTTCTCTGTTTAATTATTTGAGGAACCTCCTTACTGTTTTCCATAGTGGCTGCACCAATTTACATTCTCATCAACAGTGCCCAAGGGCTCCCTTCTCTTCATATCCTTGTCAACTCTCATTATCTCCTGTCTTTTTGATAATAGCCTTTCTAACAGGTGTGAGGTGATAACTTCTGGTTCTGATTTATATTTCTCTGATGATTAGTGAAATTGAGCATCTTTTCCTATACTTGTTGAAGATTTGTGTGTTTTCTTTGGAAAAATTTGTCTAGTTAGGTCTTATGCCTCCTTTTAATTGAATTATTTGTTTTTATTTATTTATTTATTTATTTTTACTACCAAATTGTATGAATTCTTTATCTATTTTGGATATTAACCCCTTATCAGATAATATGGTTTATAAATATCTTCTCCCATTATGTAGGTTGAATTTCCATTTTGTTCATGTTTCTTTTGCTGTACAAAAGCCTTTTGGTTTGGTATATCCCCACTTGTTTATTTTTGCTTTTATTGCTTATGTTTTTGGTGTCAGATCCAAAAAATCATTGCCAAGACCAATGTCAGGGAGATTTTCCTTTGTGTTTTCTTCTAGAAGTTTTAGGGTTTCAGGTCTTATAGTTAAGTCTTTAATCCTTCTGGAGTAAATTTTTGTTAAGTGGAATAAGATAGGGGTCCAACTTTACATGTAAATTACTTTACATGTACATATCCAGTTTTCCCAACACTATTTATTAAAGAGACTACCCTTTCCTCATTGAGTATTTTTGACTCCCTTATCAAATATTAGTTGGCAGTTTATGCATGGATTTATTACTGGACTCTTGATTCTGTTTTATTGCTCTCTGTCTTTATTTGAATACCATACTGTTTTGATTACTATAGCTTTGCAGTATAGTTTGAAATTAGGAGATGTAATGCCTCTAGCTTTGTTCCATCTCAGGATTGCTTTGGCTCTTTGGGGTATTTTGTAGGTTCTTATGAATTTTCTAATTTTTTCCTCTATTTATATGAAAAGTACCACTGGAATTTTTATAATGATTGAATTAAATCTATAGATAGCTTTGGGTATTATGGACATTTTCACCTTGTTGATTATTCTGATCCATGAACACAGGATGTCTTTCCATTTATTTATGTCTTCTTCAATTTTTTTCATCAATGTCTTACTGTTTTTAGTGTGCAGGTCTTTCACCTTCTTGGTTAAATTTATTCTTAGGCATTTCATTCTTTTTGATGCAATTGTAAATGGGATTGTTTTGTTTATTTCTTTTTCAGATAATTTGTTGTTAGTATATAGAAAACACAACTGATTTTGTATGTTGGTTTTGTATTCTGCAACTTTACTGAATTTGTTTATTAGTTCTAACAGATTTTTGGTAGAGTCTTTAGGATTCTCTACACATGTGATCATACCATCTGCAAACAGAGATAATTTTACTTCTTCCTTTCCAATTTAGATGCTTTTTATTTATTTTTAGCAATATGCCTAATTGCTCTGGCTAGGACTTCCAGCACACTATGTCGAATAGAAGTGGTGAGAGTACTTCTTACCCAGTTTTTACCTGGTAGTGTCCATCATTGTGTGATAGAGAGTTGGAAGATGGTCTGCAGAAGGTAAACAATGTTGTGAGCCAGTACCGGTACCCCTGGGATAAAAGAAATACTACTTAATTACCTGATTATAACTCATCCTCGGTGTTTGAATCAGAGACAAACACAGAGAAGAACAAAATTTCTTCATACCTTTCATCAGGGAGTCTATTGTCCTAAGACAAAGCTTGAGTATGCCAGGTTTTCCTTAATATAACTCACTTTATCTTACTACCGCTTGATATAGTTCAATTACTTTCTCATGAGTATAGATGCTTTTGCATCCTGCTATTAATTTCCCATCTTTGTTTTTGGTGGCAAGATAGGTTTTTATGTGATTCTGTGTTTTTGTGGGTGTTTCAGAGGACAATTGGGAGAGTCTGTATGGGAAGAGCAGTGAGAAACTTTTAACCATATGCTATTTTTTTAAAAAAAATTAAGTGTAATTGGTTTAAAAAATAAATTGTCATTTTGTAATGAAACTTTCCCAACCCAGAAGAATGTTTACTCTTACAAACAATGGTTCATTGAAATCCTACTCATCTTTTAACTATTTTACTATTTCCAGTATACCCTCAGGTGATGAACAGTGGATCCCTTTGTTAATAAAACTGAACAACTAGGCAAAATCTGCTCTCAATTATTCCTGCTACACAAGGCCTTATCTAAGAAATGTTGTCTGGTCTTGTTCCTTGAGGGAAAGGGAGGCGGGGGGAGGGGAGGGGCACTCCTGGATGCTTTTTTGTGCCCATTAGAACCTGAATGGGATCTAGTGAGCCTCAAAGTTCCACTCTTTGCCCTGGTTTCAAATATGGTGTCTGTGGACTCATGCACCTGCTTCCACCCCTCAGCCAGGTAATCTTTTCTCATTCATTGATTGTCACGAACATCAGCGTCTATACTATGTTGTAGTACAGTGAGACTTTCTGGGCTCTGGGAAAACCGTTCTCTCTTATATACAGCAGCTTTAGCCTTATGTGCCTTCTGACTTTTTCAATGTACTTATTAATGTTTATCTATCTTTTCCTGTTTTATCAGTGTGTCAAATGTAAGAACTTGATGTTTTCATGTTATCAAGTGCTGAATCCTGTCTCTGAATTTGTTGCTTCTGGTCTACTATGAGCTGGAAAAACACATATCCATTTTTATGAGAATTGTGTCAAAAATGGGATCCTGTGACAAAAAATTTTCTGCTACCGGAAAGATTGGAGTATATATTATCTCAGGTGCCCCTCACTTGTCTGTAGAAGTTGGAGGACTTCCAACTTCTACCTGTAAGTGGTTCCAGGCAGGTGCTGATTGTGGACACTCTGGTCTGGGCACAGGAAGCTGCTCTGTGGCCAATAACAGCTGCCACTGCTACTCTCAGGATGCCACTGTGGCAGTTAGGTGGTTGATAGTAAATAAAGAAATCATTGAGATTTTGTGTTTAGTAAGTGAAGCTTTGAGAGCAATTATCCAATCTTCATACATCTTAATGTATATTTTATTTCTAGAATTTGGATGCATATCAAGATTCTCTGAAGATCAGCAACAACCCTTTGGGGGATAGCTGCTTCAACATCATGACCAAGGACAAAGAATCAATTTTCAGAAGCTTTCATTTTGTTTACATTGTAACCTTAGTAGTTGGAACGACAATCCACTTCTCTGATGAAAGTGAATATGCAGTAGACATGTCAGATAGAGGCCTTACTCATGTTCCAAAAGGCCTGCCACCAAAAACTAAAGTCTTAGATATGTCTCAAAATTATATATCTGAGCTTCACCTCTCTGACATCAGCTTTCTCTCAGGGCTGAAAGTTTTGAGACTTTCTCATAATAGAATCCAGTGCCTTGATCTTAGTATTTTCAAGTTCAACCAGGATTTGGAATATTTGGATTTATCCCACAATCAGTTGCAGAAGATATCCTGCCATCCTATCACCAATCTCAAGCATTTAGACCTCTCATTCAATGATTTTGATGCCCTGCCCATCTGTAAGGAATTTGGCAACTGGACACAACTGAATTTCTTAGGATTAAGTGCTACAAAGTTACAACAATTAGATTTGTTACCAATTGCTCACTTGCATCTAAGTTGCATCCTTCTAGATTTGGAAGGTTATCATGTGAAGGAAAATGAGTCAGAAAGTCTTCAAATTCTGAATACAGAAACACTTCACCTCATTTTTCACCCCAATAATTTCTTCTCTGTCCAAGCGAACATATCAGTTAATAATTTAGGGTGCTTACAAATGACTAATATTAAATTGAATGATGACAAGTGTCAAGTTTTCATTAGATTTTTATTAGAACTCACTCGGGGTCCAACCTTACTGAATTTTACCCTCAACCATGTGGAAACAACTTGGAAATGTCTGGTTAGGATTCTTCAATTTCTTTGGCCCAAACCTGTAGAGTATCTCAATATTTACAATTTAACAATAGTTGAAAGCATTAACAAAGAAGATTTTACTTATTCCGAAACAACATTGAAAGCATTGAAAATAGAACATGTTACAAACAGAGTTTTTATTTTTTCACAGACAGTATTATACAAAGTGTTTTCTGAGATGAACATTATGATGTTAACCATATCAGATACGCCTTTTATTCACATGCTCTGTCCTCAAGCAACAAGTACATTTAAGTTTTTGAACTTTACCCAGAATGTTCTCACAGATAGTATTTTTCAAAACTGCTCCACCTTAGTTAGATTGAAGATATTTATCTTACAGAAGAATGAATTAAAAGATCTTTTCAAAGTGGGTCTCATGACTAAGGATATGCCATCTTTGGAAATACTGGATGTGAGCTGGAATTCTTTAGAATATACTAGACATAACAGAACTTGCACTTGGGTTGAGAGTATAGTGATGTTAAATTTGTCTTCAAATATACTTACTGAATCTGTTTTCAGATGTTTACCTCCTAGGGTCAAGATTCTTGATCTCCATTCTAACAAAATAAGGAACATCCCTAAAGATATCGCCGGTCTAGAAGATTTGCAAGAACTCAACATTGCTTCCAATGATTTAGCCCACCTTCCTGGGTGTGGTAGCTTTAGCAGCCTTTCTGTACTGATCATTGACAATAATGCAATTTCCAACCCATCCGCTCATTTCTTCCAGAGCTGTCAGAAGGTTAAGTCCGTAAAAGCGGGGAACAATCCATTCCATTGTACATGTGAGCTAAGAGAATTTATCCAAAGGATAGGCCAAGTATCAAGTGAAGTGGTAGAGGGTTGGCCTGACTCTTACAAGTGTGACTATCCAGAAAGCTATAAGGGAAGCCTACTGAAGGACTTTCACGTGTCTCCGTTATCCTGCAGCACAGCTCTGCTGATTGTCACCATTGGGGTCATAGGGCTGGTGTTGGCTGTTACTCTGACTGTCCTCTGCATCTACTTTGATCTGCCCTGGTATCTCAGGATGGCGTTTCAGTGGACCCGGACCCGGCGCAGGGCTAGGAGCACACCTTCAGATGAACTCCAAAAAACTCTCCAGTTCCACGCTTTTGTTTCATATAGTGAGCACGATTCTTTCTGGGTAAAGAATGAATTACTACCAAACCTAGAAAAAGAAGGTATACGGATTTGTCTCCATGAGAGAAACTTTGTTCCTGGCAAGAGCATTGTGGAAAATATCATAAACTGCATTGAGAAAAGTTACAAGTCCATCTTTGTTTTGTCTCCCAACTTTGTTCAGAGTGAGTGGTGCCATTATGAACTCTACTTTGCCCATCACAATCTCTTTCATGAAGGATCTAATAACTTGATCCTGATCTTGCTAGATCCCATTCCGCAGAACAGTATTCCTAGCAAGTATCACAAGCTGAGGGCTCTCATGACACAGAGGACTTATTTAGAATGGCCCAAGGAGAAGAGCAAACATGGACTTTTTTGGGCTAACATTAGAGCTGCTTTTAATGTGAAATTAACACTAATCACTGAAAACAATGATGTGAAAACTTAAAAAAAGGCTAGGAAATCCAACTTAAGAAATCAATAAAATTAAATTCTGATGAACACTATGGTTTTAAGTTATTGTCTAGATGGTGCTTGCATTATCTCTCTGCATTCAGGAAAAACTTAATGACAGCTGTATTCCAATTGAGTTAGGGAAGCAGCCTGGGGGCTGAGGTGGTGCTCAAACTTACCAATTACAGATAGCTCAGTCTCTTCTTGTTTAACCATCTGTTTCAAATTGAAACAATCTCTTTTGAGTAAATGCTCAGTCATTCAAATACCTTTCTTCTCTCCTCTCCTTTCGTAAGTGGATTCTGTGTAAGCAGGAGTTTAAGGGACTTCATGGCAGCAAGGAAAGAGTCAACCTCAGAACTGCATGCAATGGTCCTTGGAGTGTCCTATACATTCTCTTTGACCCTGGGATGACCTTTGTTCTATTCAACTTTGGGGCTTGGGAAAAAATTAGATAAGTTATGGAAAATAAAAATACCATTTTTCTTCACATTTCAGTAATAGTTTATTAAATTTTTGACCTAGCTACACAAACATGCAGTAGTTTGTGTATATAAAGAAATATATAGTCTTAGTCATAGGCTGTTGAAGGCCAAGACATGAATTTACCTGCCTGCCAAAAAAAGTCAGAGCTAAATTTATCTGTAACTGGTTACTGGATAGAAGTTTTCCGGTTTTGTTAGAATTTTGGTGAATGCCTCAAAGCTGAAGAAAAGCACATTTTAAACAGAGATATAGAGCCACAAATAGCAGAAGAGATCAGTAACTACCAACTCATATTACCCATCTCCAGAAGACTAACTTAAAAAGGGTGATTAGAGAGACATTAAGTAGGGGTTCTAGACCAATGGAGAGATTGCTTTAGATTTCTCCCAAAGGCAAATGAGAGGGGCGCTAAGCACATGGAAGAGTAGCCTGGCAGCCCTCTCCCAGCCTGAAAGCTTGCAAAGTAACAGAAATGCACAATCGAGCAAAGCAGATGGGGTATGGTATGAGATCGCTTGGAGAGCTTGATGAGTGTTTCCTGGAACTTTTTTTTTTTTTTTTTTTGGAGGGGGTGTTGTATTATGAACATAGAGATTGGAAATAATGTTTTATAAATGTAAGTGCTTTATAAACATTGAATGCATGGACAAGTGCTTCCCACCTGGAGAATTCAGAAGGCAGGCGGTTGGCTTGGGTAGCCCAAAATGGCAGAATGAGGAAAGAAAGGAAGAAGTGATTGCAGTCTGCCCTTTCATTATTTGGCATGGAAATTTTCCTGTGAGTTACTGGGATTGAGTTGTCAGGATGGTACCTCAGCTATCCAGACAGACTGTTATGCAAAAGGACTGTTAAGCAAAAGACCATGGGGTTAGGGGGAAGATGTGCATGGTGTGTGTGGGTGGGGGTTGTTGCAAGAGGTCAGCCAGAGAATATGCCACTTGCATCAAGAAACTGCGCAATATAGTATCTGCCTGAGGCCTCTGAAAAACTCACAGATGCATCTTGTGAAAGAGCCAATATTTGACTCTGCCATAATAAGAAGAAGAGGCATGATGACCTGTCCGTCATATCCAGTAGTTAACTACAAGGAGATTTGCTCCTCTCTAATACACTCTTCCCTTGTGGTGGGTGGCCTGGGGACATCCAGAATATAGAGAAGGCAGAGAAAATAGAGGAAGAGTAAAGAC